GAAAAAGCATTTGGCTGAACATCCCATCCGCCTGGTTTGCAAGTGAAAATAAGGTTTGTCCCACGGCCAGCTCTGCCCAGAGCAGAAAATCAGACTCTTTGGCAGATCGTTGCTACTGTAATGAAATTTAGCTGTGCCGAGACTGCCAGTCCTCGGATGGGAAAAGTCCCACGTGGGTGCAGAGAAGTTTGGGGATGGATCTGTCACAACAGCTGCTGCCGACCAGGGTTTTTGGCGCTGCCTGGGGACACCCACTGCCCCCCCTCAGCACTGATGGCACATCATCTTCTCCCCGCAGCGAGTCCCCCCAGCCCGGGAGCTGTGTGGTCTTGCAGAGCCATGATGAAGCTCCTGCCCGTGGCCCCTCTCTTCCTCCTCCTCCTGACGACGCTGGAAGCCAGACCGAAGCCTGCAGGTGAGCCCTGGCTGCTGGGAATTGCCTGGAGGAGAGAAAAGTGAGTGTGTCAGGGCAGCAAAGCCCTCGGAGGACAGCTTGGTGCTTGGGGTGGGGGGACCTGATGCCTCTTCTTTGGAAGCATGCCAGCTGGATGGAGCATCCCCCTGGCGTGGGACCTGAACTGCCCAGCGCTGCCCAGGGGCGCGGGAGCTGAGCCTGGTCCCAGCATGGTGAGACTGGTGCCACTTGCTCCAGGCACGTTCTCAGCTTTGACACAGCTCAGGGCTTGTCACCCTCCTGCCCGTGTGCTCTGACCTTGGCCGGAGGCACAGACATTAGGGGGAACCCCCTCCCTCCACGGGTCTCCTGGTGGGGGAGGGGGGGGCAAAGCAAACCCAGGGGCACTAGCCTCTCTCCTCCCAGGGTAGAGGGAGATAAATCAATTCCAGTTTAAAAACATGAAGGCACCGAACGGAGAAAGGAGGCGGATATGTCTCAGAGCCCTTTGGAGCAGCTGAGATGACAGCCCAGGTCTGGGCATCATCCCAAGGGGACTCAAAGTGTTTCCTTACCATTAGAGCCAAATTCTCCCAGGCTTGGGTACATGCAAGCCAAGCAAAATATGTTCATTGGCATTTCACTTGCTAAACCCTCTCCCGGTTTACACTGGAAGTTGCACCCATATGTCCAGGAGAGGCTCTTTGGCTCGATCCCCACCATGTGTATGCCCTGAGCTGTGCTTTTCACTGTCTCATTTTCTTCCCCTAAAAAAACCCACAACAAAGTAAGTCCAGTTTTAGGCAGAAACTGGCAAAATGCAGTAAAATCCGGGGGAAGCTGGAGCTGCGGGGGAACAGAAGAATTGCCCAAAGCAGTATTTTCACGCGTGGCACGGCAGCAGCAGGAGCCCACGTGGCGCAGGGGTCTGGGGCAGGAGCTGCAGCTGGCAGGGGACAGCATGAGGCACTGGGCTGTTTTACAGTTTGACGCTCTGATTCACAGCAGAGATGAAGATGCCGCTGCCTAAACTTGTGCCTAAACCTTGCCGACAGACCGAGAGGCATTTCTGCAGCCCTGGGGGCTGTCGGCTGTGGAAATGCAGGGAGCAGGAGCTGGGTCTGGCTGCAGGGACAGTGTTGGGGAGGAGGGCACAATACCATTTCCCCACGGCCAGCATGTCTCCCCAGCCTGTCATCCCTGCTCCCACTCTGCCAGCACCCTCCACAGGTTTATTTGGCAGTGGGAAGGTGCTGGCCTGTGGGCACCCCTCAGCCCACCCAATGGGGATGTCCCTGCTCCCAGCTCGCCACAGGTGGCTGTGAAGCTGAACTGTCTCTTTGCCCCCTTCCAGCCCTGAAGTGCAGGACAGGTCCCCTGGACATCGTGTTTGTGATCGACAGCTCCCGCAGCGTGCGTCCCTTCGAGTTCGAGACCATGCGGCAGTTCATGATGGACATCATCGGCAGCCTGGACGTGGGTCCCAACGCCACACGGGTGGGGGTCATCCAGTACTCCAGCCAGGTGCAGAACATCTTCTCCCTCAAGACCTTCTTCACGCGGGCAGACATGGAGAAGGCCATCAACAGCATCGTCCCGCTGGCCCAGGGCACCATGACAGGGCTGGCCATCCAGTATGCCATGAACGTGGCCTTCACCACGCAGGAGGGCGCGCGCCCTCTGCACAAGAAGATCCCCCGCATCGCCATCATCGTGACGGACGGACGGCCCCAGGACCGTGTCACTGAGGTGGCCACCCAGGCCCGGAATGCTGGCATTGAGATCTACGCTGTGGGCGTCCAGCGGGCAGACATGAACTCTCTGCGGGCCATGGCCTCGCCGCCGCTGGAGGAGCACGTCTTCCTGGTGGAGTCCTTCGAGCTCATCCAGCAGTTTGGGAAGCAGTTCCAGGACAAGCTCTGCGGTGGGTGAGAGCTGCAGCTGTGGGCTGGCAAGGGTGGGCCCGGCTAGAAGATGACCTTCACATAGGTGTTTGGGGTGGCTGGCCTTCCTAGGAGCAGAGTGGACAGGGAAGCAACCTCCCTGATGGGACAGACAGCCTTTCCTCTTGCTCACCTTTCCTCTTGCTCACCTTTCAAGGCCAGGCTGGATGAGGCTTGGAGCAACCTGGGTGTCCCTGCCCATGGTAGGGGCGTTGGAACTCAATGATCTTTAAGGTCCCTTCCAACCCAAACTATCCGGTGATTCTGTGATTCCTCTCACTCACCTTTCCTCTGCTGGGACGAGATCAGGAGAGCTTCAAAAGCATTGCAAGCAAGTGCTTTTCTTCACCCCTGCCTGGTAGCTCTGCCCCAAGCCAGGATGTCGGGGCAGCGGTGATGGGGAATATTAAAGAGCAGAAAATGTGGAGCTGGTTTCCCTGGGTGTGACAGGGATGGGTGACATATCCCAGAGCCCCATACGCATTTCAGTGTGGCTCTAGCAGGGTCTCCTCCTACACAGACACATGCACAGCATCTGCTGACTGAACATTTGTGTTTAATAAATCCCTGGCCACATGTGCTGCTCTGAAGCATCCAGCCGGTCTCGGCAAGGAGCCGGGATGCTGGTTCTCACGGTGGCTGTGCTGGCGAGGGTTGAGAGCTCACAGGCTGGGACCTGTCTGTCCCCTCTGATGCTGGTGGGCTTTGCCAGAGACCTGGCACTGCAGCGGGCTGGCAAGACCTTGCTCGTGTGCTCCAGCATCTGCTGAAGGGCAGAAGGCAGCTGCCAGCCTCTGTCGGGCAGCGGTTCCTAGCCGGGGGCATGTGCATGCCCATGGGGCTGCATTAGTGCCGTGGTGGGTCCCTGCTGGCTGGGGTGGGGGGCCAGGGCTGACAGATATTGCCCCCTGGGGCCCTGGTATGCTCCTGCACCTGATGCCTTTGCTTACAGCGCACTGCCTGTCACCTGCCTGCCTGCTTCCTGGACAGCTCTGCAGGCTCCTGGCCACCCCTGGCTCCTTTGGCTGAGCTCAGGCTTTCGCTTACTCGGCTCAAGCTATCAACGGTATCAGTTAATATTGGGCCTTGATTTAGTGCTCGGGTAGACCTGAAAGCCGAGGCAGTTCAGAAACCTGCCCAGTGCAGTGTCCGTGTCTGTGCACTGGAAATCAGTGGGTGAACACTGGGATGGAACAGCTGGGGCTGTGCAGGTTGTCCTGGTGGCTTTGGCTGCAGGGACAGGGCACATGCAGGGTCCCTGTGCAGCTGCTCTGATGCTCTTTCTGTCTTGCAGGGGTGGACATGTGCGTGGTGCAGGAGCACGGCTGCCAGCACAGCTGCGTCAGCACCCCGGGCTCTTTCCACTGCGAGTGCAACCCGGGCTACAGGCTCAACGCGGATGGAAAGACCTGTTCCCGTAAAAACCCTTTTTATATCCTAACTCTCCTAGAGGACCTGTAGTTACAGGGCTCATGAAATGCAGCAGAGGACCCTGCAGGGCCAGCAGCAGCCCAGGTGCTCTGGCCATGGGTCACGCTGCCGCCCGGGTGTGTAATGGCTGTGGGTGCTACTCAGCATCGCTAAACTCTGGTCAGCTCTCTGGGATGGGACACTTTGGGCTCATGTTGGCACAACCGGCTGCCTGTCACCTGAGGGAGCTCCAGGCAGTGGGTACCAGGGGATGCACCTCCCAGCCACGTGCACGGTGTTTTGGCCCTGGATTTTGAGAGCAAAGCTGTATTTGTGGGTTCTGGCCACCACACCGGGACTTTTCCTTCTTGTCTCAGGGTGCTGGGAGCTTCCTTGAAGCTCTGGAGCAGCCCTTGGCTGCCCTGGGGAGACTGGGACAGGAGGGTGACAGATGTCCTGTTCCCCCGCAGCCATCGATATGTGCGCAGACGGGAGACACGGCTGCCAGCATCAGTGCGTCAGCGCTCGTGGGTCATACTTGTGCCGCTGCCGCCCGGGTTACTACCTCAACCAGGACAAGAGGAGCTGCACTAGTAAGTGTCCCTCTCCCTTCCTGCCCCTTCTTCATTTGTTTCTTGCTCTCCTTCTTCTTGTCTTTCCCTTCCTGCCCACCCCTCTCCTTCTCTCACCAGTGATCGATTACTGCAGCTTCGGAAACCACAGCTGCCAGCACGAGTGCGTGAGCATCCCTAACGGGCACTACTGCCGCTGCCGCAGCGGCTTCACGCTCCCGCCCGCGCGCAGGG